GAATAATCAAATGATGGAAATGTTAATACAGTGAATCAAGAATTGAATGAATTTATTTATAAATTTGTTGAATCATTATTATTTTAATTTTATTGTATCACAAAATTGATTCATTCAAATTGTTTATTTACTAAATAAAATATTTATAAATGAAGAAATAATAGTATGACAAACAATACATATTGCAATATTCATAAAATAAACACTCAATGAGTGATTTGAATATTAGTTACATAATAATTTGCTATTGATTATTGAATAAAAAATTATAATTTGAATAATTCATAACCAATGTCAGTTATTCATTAAACAAATAAACAATAAATTTAATACCTTTTAAATAGAACAAATAATCATATTTATTTTATAATTAAAATAATAAGAATATAACAAGAAAATCATTCACTCTATGAATAGTCATGAATAATAATTATTTTAATTTAATAAAAGTAACAATTTGTACTTATTTTATTTCAATTTCATTGAAATAGTATTTTAATATATTTATAATTGTTTTTAAAGAATTAGATTCATTTGTTCATTTAAACCAATATTATTCAAGTTTATATTTTCTATCAATATAATTATTATTATTCTTGCTATTATATTATATTATTTTGTTTTATTTCATTCTTGTTTTATTCATTGATGTGATTAATATAAAAGAGATCAAATATACAAAATTATTAGAACATTTCATTTCTTTTATTAAATTACTGTTGTTAGAATAAAATTTATATAGTTATGAAATATTTTTATTGGTTAAGATGTTGAAAATGAATATACAAATTGAATAAATATAATAAACAATGGTATGAAACATTATCTAATTTAAAAAAATCATTACACACCAACATTAAAAATATGTTTAATAATAAATTGAGAATATTTTTCATCAGTTTGTTATATTTTCTGAATTGTTCTTGTAATAAAGAATAAATTATTACTCATAGTCTTGTCGTATAAATTTGTACTTATTAATAAATGTACTTATTTCATCTCTTTTATATCATTTGTATTAGTATTTACAATGGTATATTAATTGTTATTAATGATATATCAAAACATATTCTCATTTTGTCTTTATGACTGTTTTAACTGCACTTATGAAAATAATAACAAATAACATTTAAATTAAAATATTTGTGTTGAAATTCTTATAATAACAATGTTTATATCAATACATTACTGTCTTGGAATTTTTAGCAAACTTATATTTGATAATTATAGTCTTGACTGGTTATATATTCTTACTTTGCTAGTTTTATTTACTGCAACTATTTTTGAATGACTGTATTTAATATACACATCCAACCACTAAGAAACAGAATTGAGAATATCATAAAAATAAATGTTATAATGTATCAAATAATACATATAATGAAATAAAAAGTTATTGAAATAACATAATACTCTATTTGTGAATATTTTTATAAAAAGCACCAACAAAAAATCACTTATTTGTATCAATCCAATTGATTATATCCAAACAAAATCTTCTTAACTCAGTAAAGAAAATTAATAAATCTACTTTATCAACTTTTGAGCTTGGCTGTACTGGAGTATCAATGATCTGTTGAAGAACCTCAGCCCATTCAAACAAAACCGTATTCATTATCTCAACGTTATTTTCTTCAATCCCAGAAATATCTCTTGTTGTTTTCTTTTCAACAAGTTCTTTTAATGAAGTCAATTTCCCAGTCGTTTGTCTATCAGCAAAACCTTTATCTTCAAGCATTTCTAATGTATGAAATAATTGTTCTGTATTTTCATTTATGCTGACTGTTCCTATCATACTTTTTTTCATTCTACTTTGTTGGTTAATAATAACTTCTGCTGGCTTTTCTGTAGGAACATGTAATGTAGAATTTAATGAACTTCCAGAAGTTGAAACTGATGACTTACTTTTCCTTTCTTCTTCTGCTCGTTCAAAGAAATTGAATTTTGGTTTTAGAGTTGCATGTTGAAATGGAGAGTTTATTTTTACTTTTTCTTGTGTTTGATCTGATGTTGTGTCACTTTTCCCTCTTTCATGTTGTAAGTTGTAGAGAACCTGCATTTTTCTTTCTACACTCTCAACATTTTCTTTTGCACTTTTGAAGACTTGACTTCCTCCAGATACTTCAAAAGAAGGTTGACTAGAAATGACAGTATCTCCAAAGTGGATTGATTCATCCTTACTGAGTTGTTCTAAAGTAATTATCTGAGTATCTCCATTTACATCCTGATATACAAGTGGAGTGTTTTTATTGTTAAGACTCTTCCTCATTAGGATTTGAAGTTCTTGTCTATCCACTCTATTTTTAATGAATCTATTCTAACAATCTTCGATTTTAAGAAAACCTAATGAAACCCTCAAAAAAATGACAAAAGAAAAATAAAACCTCAAGAGAAAAGATAAAAAGTTCTGAAGTTTTGAAGAAAAGAATCAAATAGTTATGTCTCAAGACGAACAAGTTCAAGTTCCAATGAACGAAGAAGAACCAAAAAAGATAATTGTTAAAAAACACCGTCTTATTGTAGAAGAAAGTAAAGAAGATGATATGTCAATTGTATATATGAATCCACAAAGAATGGAAGAATTGAATTTCTTTGAAGGTGATAGTATTTTAATTAAAGGAAAAAGAAGAAAAAGTACAGTTTGTATTGTTATGGCAGAAGAAGGATTAACAGAAAATATGATCAGACTTCATCGTATGACTAGATACAACTTAAGAGTTAAGTTAGGTGATGTAGTTGGAGTTGAAACCCCACAAAATGTTCCTTATGCTATTAAAATTCATGTATTACCAATTGATGATACTGTAGAAGGAATTACTGGAGATTTATTTGAAACATATATCCGACCATATTTCAGTGATGTTTTTAGACCTATTAAGAAAGATGACCATTTTTTGTGCCATGGAGGTATGAGAACAGTTGAATTCAAAGTTGTTGATATTGACCCATCACCATATGCACTTGTTGTAAATGACACTATTATTCATTGTGAAGGAGAACCAATTAAAAGAGAAGATGAAGAACGACCAGATGATCTTGGATATGATGACATTGGAGGGTGTAGAAGACAACTTGGACAAATTCGAGAGATGGTAGAATTACCATTAAGACATCCACAATTATTCCAAGCTATTGGTATTAAACCACCAAAAGGAGTGTTATTATATGGACCACCAGGATGTGGTAAAACAATGATTGCACGAGCTGTTGCTAATGAAACAGGAGTTTTCTTAATATTAATTAATGGACCAGAAATTATGAGTAAAATGGCAGGAGAATCAGAAGGTAATTTAAGAGAAGCATTTGCAGAAGCAGAAAAGAATGCACCAGCACTTATTTTTATTGATGAAATTGATTCTATTGCACCAAAAAGAGATAAGGCACAAGGAGAAGTTGAGAGAAGAGTTGTTGCACAATTATTAACACTTATGGATGGTATGAAAAGTAGGTCAAATGTTATTGTTATGGCAGCTACTAATCGACCAAATGCTATTGATTCAGCATTAAGAAGATTTGGTAGATTTGATAGAGAAATAGATATTGGAGTTCCAGATGAAACAGGAAGACTTGAAATTCTTAATATTCACACTAAAAAAATGAAAATTGCAGATGATGTTGATTTACTCCAAATTGCTAAAGAAACACATGGATATGTTGGAGCTGATTTAGCACAATTATGTACTGAAGCTGCTATGTTATGTATTAGAGAAAATATGGCACATGTTGATGTTGAAGCAGATTCAATTCCAGTTGAAGTATTAAATGGAATGAAAGTTACAATGGAACATTTTAGAAATGTGATGAAAACATGTACACCATCAGCATTAAGAGAAACAGTTGTTGAAATACCAAATGTAAAATGGGAAGATATTGGAGGACTTGAAGATGTTAAACGAGAATTAAAAGAAGTTGTTCAATATCCTGTTGAATTTCCTGACAAGTTTAGAAAGTTTGGAATGGAACCATCAAAAGGAGTTCTTTTCTTTGGACCACCAGGATGTGGTAAAACACTTCTTGCTAAAGCAGTTGCTTCACAATGTAAAGCCAATTTTATTTCAATTAAAGGACCAGAATTACTAACAATGTGGTATGGAGAATCAGAAGCTAATGTTCGTGATGTTTTTGATAAAGCAAGACAAGCAGCACCATGTGTATTATTCTTTGATGAATTAGATTCTATTGGAAGAGCAAGAGGAGGAGGAGCTGGAGATGCTGGAGGATCTGCAGATAGAATTTTAAATCAATTATTAACTGAAATGGATGGAGTTGGAAAGAAAAAACAAGTTTTTATTATTGGAGCTACTAATAGACCTGATATTTTAGACCCAGCATTATTAAGACCAGGACGACTTGACCAATTATTATTTATTCCATTACCTGACAAAGCATCAAGAATATCAATTCTACAAGCTAAATTAAGAAATTCACCTGTTGCACCAGATGTTGATTTAGACTGGATTGCTGAACATACTGAAAATTTCTCTGGTGCTGACTTAGCAGAGATTGTTCAAAGAGCTTGTAAAGAAGCTATTAGAGACACTATTAATGAATTAGCTGTTGCTGAAGCAGAAAAGGCAGCACAACCAGAAGATCAAAAAATGGAAATCGAAGTTAAACCAATGATTAAAGTTAAACACTTTAATGCTGCTTTAAGAGATGCAAGAAGATCAGTCTCTGATATTGAAATTCAAAGATACAATATGTATGCAGAAACACTTCTTCAAAGAAGAAGCATTGGTAATTTTAGTTTCAATTGATTTCTTTAAATTTGATTTACAGATTTTTAACTAATTTATTCTTTGAAAAATAATCAATTAAAGGAATTGACCAAGCGTTTGTTTTTGTTGAGAAGTTGGTTGTTGCTTTCGAGTATCTTGAATAGAGTCAATTTTAATATTAGCTCTCCAATCACTTTGTTTTGTTTCTTGTGGTTGAGCTGATGAAAAATCTCCAAAATCAAATGTATTAGAATTTGTTTGTTGTGTACTTGGTTGTTGAGAAGGAGTATTCATTGAACCAAACATATTTACTGAATTTTGTTGTTGACTTGGTTGGCTTGGAGCTGATAGTCCAGCAAATAAATCCATTGTATTTGGTTGTTGTTTGGGTTGAGAAGGAGTTGATCCAAAATCAAATAAAGAGTTTGATGTTGGTTGTTGTTGAGTGGCTGGTTGTTTATTTGACCAAAACAAGTCAGCTGAATTTGAAGTTTGTTGAATTGGTTGTTGTTGTTGCTGGGTTGGTTGATGTACATCCATCATGTCGAATAAATTAGTGCTTGTTTGTAAAGGTTTTTGTTGTGAAGGTTGAGAAGGAGTTGAGTCAAAATCAAATAAATTTGGTTGAGGATTAGTAGGTTGATTATTTATGACTTGTGAAACAGGAGAAGGATCTCTTTGAATTTGTTTTTGTTCAACAACATTATCTTTATATGTTCCTGGTCTTCCATAAGTAGGTTGTGGATTATTAGAATAAGTAGTAGAAGTAGGTTGTGGATCATCATGATAACCTCCATATGTAGAAGCAGGTTTATTAAACGAATTAAAATCATCACTACCAAAAGATGTTGTATTACTTGAGTAGTTACCATATGAAGATGAGCTGATTCCTCCATAATTTCCAACTCCTCCATAATCTTTCTTTTGGTTTTTAGCAGTAATTCTTGCTTGTTTAAGATAATCGTTATCAGTTAATAATTCAACAATTTGTTTAGATCGTTCACGAATATTAATTCCAACATCTTTTCCATCTTCATCAATTTTTTGGAAACTTTGTAATGGTTTAACTTCAACAACTCTTCCTAATGCAATATTAACTGCTTCTTCTGAACCATTCTTTAAAATGTTATCAAGGACTAATAATGATTTATAAATTTCTCTCCAATTTTTACCATCTTCACATAATCTTTTATATAAAAAGTCCATAATTTCACGACATTCTTGACTATATTATATTACTATATTACACTTTTGTTTAATGTTCTTAATTTAATAACAAACTAATGATATGTATATTGAATAATTTGTTGATATTGTTTAGTAGTTGGTCCCCATTGTTCATTGTTTGTTGCATCTTTTAAAAATACCTGTGCATCAGTTAACCCATAAACTGTTTTCTTAATTGAAGTAAGCCAACTTGACATTTTGATTTTACTTGAATTGAATTTTTTAGTTCTTCTTTTTTTGAGATATTTTAATCTTCTTCATTTTCTTTTTCCTTCGTTTTTCATTTCTTTTTATGTTTTTCATTTTTTATGTTTTTGTAACAAATATTTTGAAATTTGTTTTCCATTTCTTTCATTACTATTTTTTCCTATATAACTCAATTATTATACCTAAATTATATTTTACATATTTATAATGAAAATTATAGTAATCATTAAATAACAACTAAAAGTCAAAAACAAAAACTTGAAGTTCACAAAAAAAAGACTTTAATCACTGAAAATAATCAAATAGATGGTTAGTCCTTGGGTTGCAGCAGCAGCTGGAACAGGTATTTATATTGTTTGTACACTCATTACATGCTCAATGGTGTTTATATGTAGAATGAAAGATAAGCCGTTTGTTTCTTTTGTTTATTCATTAGACTATACATTTGTATTCATTTAATCTAGACTAGGAATTACTGCATGTGTTGTTGCTGGTATTTGTACATGGATTCTATGGTTTATGACATACATTAGTCAAATAAATCCATATGGACCACCTGAAGTAAAACCAATTGATTAATTAATAAAACAATTTTACTAATGGAAATTTTTGTTATTTCTATCAAAGTAAAATTTTGGGTTTTAATAAAAGAAAAAAACAACAAAAACCACAAAAACTTTAAACCAGAGAGTTTAAAAGATCTCATTTTTTTGTTTTTATAAATCGTCATGAGCAAAAAAGAACGGGGTTTGTTTTTTTTTGTGAATGATGTGGCATTTCTAATGAAGTAGTATTAAATTTTCTCATACTCCGATATTTGGAACCACACCTCTCTCCAGACCTTTTTGAACAACTAAAACAATCTTTACAAAATGCACTACCTCAAACATCTACTCTTACTACAACACTAAAAGGGTATGACACATTTGTTTGTTCTCTTTCTTTAGTAATTTGATTTAGTTAAATGTGCGTTTTTGGATAACAAAAATTGAGTTAACGTGTCTAGAGAAATATTTACCCAGACATCTCTGACAAACAATTAGTCTCGTTAGGTGGTGAATTTTCAGATATGTTATTAAGTGTCGAACCAAAACCTATTTCTAATACTCAGCATTATTTGAACTCACTTATATCAAGACAAATTGGACAAGAATTTAAGGAAACAGAAGTACTTTCATTTCAAACATTGGATTTTTATGAGGTTTGTAAAATAATTGATTAAAGAAAGAAGCGTTAACAATATAGTTAATTAATATGATTGGACACACAAAAAAAATTACTCAACAATTATTTGACATGGATAGAGAAATGATGATTACTGCGTCAGAAGATGGATTAATCAAATTATGGAATCTTATTGATGGTCATTTAATTGCAACATTAAGAGGACATTCAAAAGGAGTAGAAGACATTGATATTTCTTTTGACCACAAATATTTAGCAAGTTGTGGAGCTGATGGAAGGTGTATTATATGGGATTTAGAGAATAAAAAGATTGAAAAAAGTTTCTTTGTTTCTCATAAAAAAACAACAATGGTAACTTTCTTCCCTAAGACTTATGGATTTATTGTAATGGAAAAAGATAATTTAGGGCATGTGTTTACACCAACTCTTGAGTTTTTAGCATCTATAGATTGTTTTTGGGAAACCAAAAAAACATTTGACTATGGATGTTTCAACACTTCAGGAGATATGTTTACTTCAACTTGTGGAGATATTATTTTATTTTCATTTAAAGACCCTGTCCCAGAAAGAGTAAATGCACTTTATAAATCGAAAGATAGTATGACTTTTGTAAATAAAGTAAGAGACAAAGACTTATTTATTTGTGGCTCGTCTCAGAAATTAGTAATTTGTGACTTTACAGAGAATGTTAAAATTTTATACCTCAAACAACAAAAGAATATGACAAGTAATTGTTATGTTCTTGAATTTAATGGTGGAGAAATTAAAGAACGAATTGAAACTTCCAAAATTACTAATGACCTTAAATATATTATTATCGGATTCTCAGAAGGGACAATTAGAGTTTATAAAAATGATGATAAATTCAGTTTCTTTTCCGAGTGTAAAGGAAAACATACTAACAAAATTAAGTGCATTGAATTACATCCAAAAAGAACAAATATTTTTGCTACTTGTGCTGAAGATGGACAAACAATTATTTGGGATTTAATTAATGGACTTCATCCAATTCTTTTCTTTACAAGAGATGATTATCATGATAAAGATTTAAGAAGTTTGTTATTAACAGACTTAAGATTTTCACCTGACGGTAGTTATCTTAGTGTTGCAGATGATTTAGGAACATTTTCATTATTTGGAATTGGTTCAGAAGGAAAGTCTTCTTTTCGATGGACACCGCCACAACAATTTTTTCAAAGTGATTATAACAAATTATTATATGATGGTGCTGGTAATTGTATTGATGAAAAATTTAAGGTTGCACCTCATTTAGTACCTCGTGGTAGTGTGTGTGATTTTACTTTTATTCCTTATTCTTCTATTCAACAAATATTGAACACAAACAATAAATTATTACTTCAATGTACAGAAAATAGATTTACTCCAGAAACATATAGTTTTAGAGATAATCCTGAAGAGGCAATCATACCACGTATTTCTATTACTACCGAACCAAATGAACAAAACCCAATGCTTGAAGACACTCCTGGAGAAGCAGATGATGCTGTATTTGATGTTGATGAAGATATAGATATTACTCAACAACATTTAACTCGAAATGCAGCAAGTAGAATGGGTATTGTTATTCCAGACAATGGAACAGAAGAAGTTCCAGCAGTACCAATTGTTGATGATGGTTCTCTTGAAGTTAATGAATCATCTTCTTTAGAGTCATCTTCTTTAGATGAAGAAGAGGAAGAATTATTTGAAGAATTAGAGAGTAGTCAAGCAGAAGAAAAAGAAAAAAAACCTACAAAGCGGGGACAAAGACAATCAATTAATTCTGTTGTTATAGAAGAAACATACACTGAGTTATTAAAAGAAATATATACATCATATCCTCATTGGATTAATAAGGTTGTTGGAGAGTATGATATGACCTGTCCAAAGAAAAGAAAAGTATATTTTCCAAACATTGGAGATCATGTTTATTATGTTCCTAGATTTCATGAAGAATATTTAAAAGATATTTCAACAAATATAACAGGAACAGATAATCTACATTATATTGGGACAGAAGGATGGATTAGTTGTCAAATTACTTTTATGAAAATTTATTATGATGATATTCAGAACGAGGTATTTGTTTCTGTAGATTTAAAAGTAGAAAAAGAAGATGTTATCATCAATAATATTGTTTTTACTCAATCAAGAAATCAATTTATATTTTTAAAAGAATTTATTGACTACAATGTTCAATATATTGAGGAGCAATCTCACAAAAGAGTCAATTATGGAGGTTCATCTTATCGAGTTGATTTTGACAATTCAATATTTATGAAATATAAAGGAATTAAATTAGTTTCATCAAATGGAAGTATTGATGTTAGTATTAATGAAATTGATAGTGATTATACGGAACATCGATCTGATGATTTTGCAGATGAAGTAAGAGAAATTCTTATTAATAAATTAAGAGAAATTGTAGATAATGAAGATTATCAAATATTTAAGACACCAGTTGATATTAGGATGTATCCAAATTATATTCCAACATGTCCATTTCCTATTGACTTTAATTTAATATTGCAACGTCTTATAAATGATAATTATTATCGTACTTATGACCAAGTTGAATGGGAAATATTCAAATTAATTAGAAATGCAGTGACTTATAATGGACCAAATTCACCTATTGGAGAATGTGCAATTGAAATAGCTGAAGAATTAAAACCAACATTAGAAACATGTAGGACAGTTGTTAATACTGATTTATTGGTTGATTTAAACACTCAGTTAGAGAGTTTTAAAGAGATAACAATTCCAAATTCTTCAACCAAACAAAGGAAAACAAGAAAGGGTAATACAGAAACAAGACAACAAGAAGTGAAAGAAGTGAAAGAGCCTTCACAAGAAAGTGAGGAAATTCAAGTTATGCCAAAACGAAATCTCAGACATAATTTTATTGCAACAGACTATGAGCTTTCTCTAAAAGAAGACAATGAGGAGGAAGAGGAAGAAATTGAACCTAAACCACGTTCTAAAAGAAGAAAAACAAAAAATACATCTAAACAAATGAATGAAGAAGAGTCTCAAATTTATGAAGAAGAACAAGAATTTGAACAACGTTTGGAAGAACAATTACAAGAAGAAGAAGATAGTGAAGAAGAAGATAATCCAGATACATTTATACGTCCAAGAAGAAGAAGAGCAAAAAAAATTACTATGCCAACAAGAAAACGGAAACAAACAAAAATTGAAGAAAAAGAGGATGACTTCGAAGAATACTTTGATACAGATGATGGAGATGATTATCCTGTTAAAAGAAAATATACCACACAAGAAGAACAAGAAGATGATGAGAGTTTAAAAGATGAAAATACAGAACTACTAGAACCAAGTCGTTTTAGAAGAAAAACACGGAATATGAATTCTTCTTCATAAGAAAATAAAGTTATTCATTTAAATGTCATTTTTAAAACTCATTGAATTATTGTTTATCCAAACAATCAATTATCAAGTTTTCGTTTTGCTTGATACTCTTCTTTTTCTTCTGCAATTATTGGGTTTTTTGTAGTTGAGTTTTTAAATATTGGAGTATCAAGATCAATTATCTCTTCTTCTTCCTTTTCATTACCACCAAAGATATCATCAAGATCTTCATCATCATCAACCACTTCAACTAATTTTCTTCTTCTTATTGGTTTATTTTCATTTGTCTCGTTTGATTTATGAAGTTCTGTTTCATGTTGAGGATTTTCATCTACATGAGATTTATTTTCATTAGTTGGTGATTGAGGATTAGAAGTTTCTTTGAAAAACTTTTTTGTTGAATATTTTCTGAAGGGGAGATGAGAATGTAAGCTGGTGTAAGAAGGGAAGAGTAAATTTATAAGAATAATGTTATTAATAATAATATCATCATTGAATTTTTTGATTACTGAATCAATGAAAAGTAATAATTTAGTCACTTCATCATTCGGTTCATATTTTGTTTTTTGATTTAATACACGCAAAAAAAGATCAAGTGTTTCAATTCTATAAAAACAAGGAACTTCATTTTCTTCTCTCATTTTTTCAAATATAAGACGAGTAATTTCAACACAATTAATATCAGTAAATTCATCAACCATCAAACAAGAAAAGAAATAAGTCATAGTATTACAACATTTTTCAAAACATAAAGATTGTAAAAAATCTGAGTTTCTTGTTTCTTCAAGTCCACATAATGTATTAAGTTCAAAACATTTTTTAATTCCATAGAATGTTTTTGTTAAAATATCATTTGGTGTTTTATCAGGAATAAAGTTTTGAATAACATTTTGATAAGTATCAAAAATTCCACAATTTAAAATATCTTCAAATAACATTTTTCCATTAATTGTTGGTGTTTCATTAATCCGAATCATTTCCATTTCAATTATTGTTTTTATTTTGCATAAAAGTTGATAAAGAACCCATAAACAAATTCTAACAGTTAAATAATCTAAACAACGACAATCATTATTACCATACCAAAAAGAAATAGAGTCAAGAATACTATTAGCATATTGAACATCATAATATTGAATTTGTTTTAATTCTTTATCTAATTTTAATATAATTCCAACAATAATAAAACTTCGTTCTTTTAAATTTGAGTCGTTTGTTTTGAAAAGAATATTTGTTATCTTTTTTGAATTCTTTTCAATAATAGAAAGAAGTATTTTAGAAACTTCATAATTGAGTGAACTTGTAACTCCTTTTAATGTTTTTGAATTATAAACTTTTTCTCCTATTGCTATTTGTGAATTTGGTACTGGAAGTAATGGTTGAGAAGATCCAAGTTTACAAGAATTTACTTGAAACCTTACACTTCTCTTATTAAGTTTAGTATCAAGTTGATGTTTTCTTTTTTTCTCTTGATCAAGAAGAAGAGCAAGTTTTGATGTAGAATGACTTTTATTTATTCCTATTGGTTCAACAAATGAATCAAAACATAAATAACAACATGAAATTAATAATGATAATGCACTTTCTCTTAACTCATTTTTTAACTTATCAGATGAAAGAATAATTGAAACAATATTTAAGATATTTGTTTGTATTATATTACTTAATACTGATGGTGTTGTGTGTAGTGTTATATGTTCAATTATGTTAAATACAATTTCACTATTTCTTGGTATTATAGAAATTGAACCAATTTCAGTTGATATAATAATACTAAACATTGAAAATACTTGTTGTGGGAAAAGAGGTTTATTATTAAAACTTAACACCCCATTAGTAAAATCAATTTTATTAATTGACTTAATGTAAGCATAAATAATTTTTAAAACCTTTTTAAGTAATTCACTTTTTTCATATTGGTTTTGTTTAGAACTTAATGTTATAACCATTGGATATAATATATCATTTATAACTCGATGTATTTCTATATAATGAAATAACCTGTCTACAACCTCAGTTTTAGCAACAAAATCAAGTAATATTTTAATTGATTCTTCGGCATTATTACTAATTTCAAATTGTGAAGAAACTATTCTTCCTAATTCATCAAATAACCTTTTAAAACTACTTTCCATTTCTTTAATAATAAAGTAAAATTTTCAAGTTTTATTTAATAAAGAGTCTTAATTGTCATTAGTTTCTTTCAACATATAGAAAACGTGTGATAAAAATAAAGACTGACAACCCATCTTTAACTTAAACGTATTTTAGTTTATTTATCTATAATTAATAATATCCTTAAAAAATATAAGAAAAATCTTAGGAACATTTAGTATGTTCAGTTTCTCCTCTAAAGCTGCTATCCCATCCAAATCTCAACAATACATACCTACAAAACCTATGGCTGCTCCTCGTAGGTTTGCACAATTATCAGTAAATTCTCCTCTTAAAAAAGAAATTGAAAGTAAACCAAAAAAAGATGATGAAAAAAAGCCAACCCAATTGTCGTTGGATATGTTTGATGTTGGAAAACCACTTGGTCAAGGAAAATTTGGAAATGTTTATCTTGTAAAATACAAAAAATAGTTTGTTTTAGATATTCATTTATTAAATAAGGAGGAGTTAATTCTTTAGTGACTATGTTTGTGCATTAAAAGTTATATTTAAAAGACAATTACAAAAGTGTGGGATGGGAATTCAAATGAAAAGAGAGATTGAATTACAATCTCATCTTAATCATCCTAATATTCTCAAATTATTCGGATTTTTTGAAGATAAAAACAGGTGGTTCCTTGTTCTTGAATATTGTAAGAAAGGTGAATTATATGGGTTATTACAACAAGCTGGTCGTTTTGATGAAAGAAGAGCTGCTCGATACATAAAAGCAACAACTGAAGCTTTAAAGTATTGTCAAGAGATGAATTGTATTCATCGTGATTTAAAACCAGAAAACATCATGATAGATCACAATGATCAAGTCAAATTAGCTGACTTTGGATGGTCTGTTCATACTAATACTAAAAGAAATACTTATTGTGGTACATTAGATTATTTATGTCCTGAAATTGTATTAGAAAAATATTATGATGGATCGATTGACCAATGGTGTTTAGGAGTTTTAACATTTGAACTATGTACTGGTGAACCTCCATTTCAATCTAACAGTCGTGAAGAGGTTATGAAAAAGGTCAGAAATGTTAAATATTCTTTTCCAAGCTATCTCACAAATGATTGCAAAGATTTTATTAACAAACTAATTCAATATGATCCTTCTAAAAGAATGAGTTTTGCTGAGTGTTTAGTTCATCCATGGATAGTCAAAAACACAACAAATTGACTTTTATTTTCTCGTTATTTTATTTTTTTGTGTATTTAAACTTAAAAACAATAAGTAATGGAAAAACAATGGGAAAATTATCAAATTTTACATTCTAAAGATGTAATACTTGAAGACTCACATGATTGGACATTAAATACATTATTACGTGTTGGTATTTGTTTATTTTGTTTGTTTATAAGTAGAACATTATTAATTGATATGATAAATTATTAATAATTAGGGATTGGATATTTCATTTTCAACAAATCATCCAAATCTTGCAATTGGTTGTTTAGTTGTTTGTGAATATCCTTCTGGAAAAGAGTTATTAACATTAACATGTCGTAAAATAATTACAATTCCTTATATTTCAGGATTTCTTGGATTTAGAGAAGTAGAAGTTTATCATGAACTACTCAACGATTGTAAAGAAAAGTACCCTGAGTTATATCCACAAGTTGTGCTTGTTGATGGAAATGGATATTATCATCCTCGAAGATTTGGTTCTGCAACTCATGTTGGAGTTTATTGTGATATACCATCAATTGGTGTTGCAAAGGTTTGTATTTTTTGTGTTTTATCCACAGAATAGTTGTAAGAATGTAGACTGTATTATGTGTTGATGGGATAGGAAAGAAGGAGATTAATATAATTACTTCACAAATCAAACCAGGTGAATCAACTACAGTTAGTACTTCAAATGGAGAAGTGTTGTGTGAGGTTATAAGAAGTAGAGGTGGTAGTATAAATCCAATCATTGTTAGTTGTGGGAATAAAGTTTCACTTTCAACAGCAGTAATTATCTGTAAAGAATGTTGTTTACATAAAATCCCAGAGCCTATTCGACTAGCTGATTTAATTTCAAGAAAGTTGTTAAGAGATGAAGGATTACTCTCACACATGAATTAGAGATAAGCAAAACAAAACGAAGATTAAAATTATTACATATAAATGAAAAGTCAACAATATATTTCTTTTCAAAAAAAAGGAATTAACAAATTAAACTTCAATCAATCATTTACAATGATTAAAAAAGATACAACTTGAAGAGATTTATCTGTCAAATATTGTATTATATTTTAATAACATAAAAACAGGTGAATTGTTTACATTAATAAATAAAAAATGTAAAGACTCACTTCAAATGTTACATATCAATCCATCATATTCTGTTGAGAAAGTTAATGAATATTTTCATATTAAAGAATGTAATTTTCAACTCCAAAAATCGTTTATAAAAGAAATGAAAGTATTCCCTCATCTTGAAACAGTCTGTTTTACAGAACAAATTATTCAATTTCTTCCATTAATTCCTTCACAAATTAAATTGATTCGACTTCTGTTATTAACCCAAAATCTACAATATTAAGAAATGATTATTAGAAAGTAAGAATTGCTTCATTAACATTAAAAAATCCCAAATACTCTTTTGATCTTTCAGAGTTTACTTCTTTAACAAGTCTATCACTTAATATTAAGAAACACTTAAGAGTTAATGATTTTATTAGAAATAAATATTATCATTTTGAAAGAGTCTATGTTATGATGGAAGGATTTGTTGATATCAACTTTATTAATCACATTGATCAATTCAATATTAGAAAAGTAATTATTGAATTTGATAAACAAGAAATATTAGAATCAGTCATTAAAAATAAGAAACTCCTTAAAAGAATTACATTTTGTTACAAAGAATGTTATTGTACTATTTCTAATGATGGTATTATTCACAATAAACGATTAACTGATGGATTTGACGTAACAGAAAAAGGATTTAATAATGATACAATACTTCAGTATTATCCTGAACATATAAAAATAAATGGATTTATCAACAAGAAAATTGAAATGGATTTTAGTTCATTCACATTCATAAAATCAATCAAATCAACAACATCTTCAATTTGTTTCAATCCACCAACTCCTTTAACACATTTAGATTCAAAATATTTCTATGAAATATCTTCTCTTAAAGAATTACATCTTCAATGAAAATATATTCAACATTTATCTCTTCCTAATAAATTAACAGCTTTAACAATTACTGATTTTATTCAAATTTCTCATTGTTCTCAATTAATTCGACTTTCTTTGTGTTTAAACAAATCATTTCCAATTATGTTATATCCAATGTTAACATATTTGTCATTGTCATGTAATACTTGTGGTAGTCTTTGTTTATTAACACAATTAAAAGTGTTGTACTTAAACAAAATCATTAAAAGTGTTGATGTTGAATCATTTTATCCTACTTCATTAGAATTTTTACAATGTTATTCTAATTCTTTACCAATGAAATTATTAATTACACAATTAGTATTAAATGATTCTTTAAACAACATAATATCCAATATTATTCATATCTTTGTAGTTTAAAAACATTGGGATTAATTTCATATTCAACTTTACTTCCTTCTTCTTTGACTTCTTTAACTGTATCATGTTTTGGTTTATCACAAAGTCATATATCATTTAGTGAAATAAATTGTATTAATGTTAAGCAACTTCACATTGAAAATTGTAATACTCATAATGTAGAATTACCATCTTATCTTGATTCACTTTATCTTCATTATTCTGAGTTTGAAATAACTAAACCAAATATATTTTATACTTTGATTCTTAATGAAAGTAAAATTAATGAAGAAATGATTCAAAAAGAATTTATAAAGAATTTCTATTGCAAAAGATCAAAAGAAAGTGAGTTTATTAACATTGAATTGTATTTATCACTTCCTCAAGTAAATTTTGTTATTGTCAGAAATAAAAAATTTATTATTTTTACGTTAGTTTTAAAACTAATAAAAATAATTAATTGATGAATAATGAAGTTTCAATATTCTTTTATGGCGATTCAAATCTTTATGGAATTGAAGCTGTGACTTATAAACGTTATTCTTCCAAAGACCGATTTTCTAACATTGTCATTGAACAATTAAAAAAAGAATTTACAAAAGTCAATTGTATTGTTGATGGAAAACCTGCTCGTTCATTGAAATATGAAAACATCCCATTTGGCATTACTAATGGATTAAAAGACTATGATCAATTCTTATTAAAGATTACCTCCAATCCATTTTCAACAAACAAAGTATTAATCCTTGCATTATGCATTAATGACATTCTTTCAAAAGCAACTTCACAACAAGTTATTGATGCATTACAACAATACATCGAAAAAGTACAAAAACAAACAAAAATAATTATTTTAATTCCACCACCACTTCAATATTGTACATTTGATAGTTGGAAATCCACAGTAAATCCAGTGATTGCAGAATCATTGAATTTTATTCATCAATTAAAAGTTGTTGTTGAAATATGGAAAAAGCAAGAAATAATAGATGGATTTGTTGATTTAGATGGAATGAGTGTTGGAGCAGATGGTGTTCATTTCACATCTGATTCACATCACAAAATTGCAGAAAAGTTACTTTCAATTCTTCATGATGTTTTAAATTGAATTATTTTTCGCAGATTTATAAAGTCAAACAGGAATAAAACACAACATAAAAGAACTTAGATTAATTGAAGAAGAAGTAAGACTTTTTATGACAATAAAATCAATAGTTATTTATGCTGATGAAGGGACTATTGATGTTTGTGTTTATTACTCAATAAAAATGCTTCATTCTCATTACCAAGAAGCTCAAATAAGAAAAATATATTCTAATGAGTTAATTGAAGGTAAATGGATTTATGAAACTGATTTGTTTGTTATGCCAGGTGGTGCTGATCGTCCATTTCACAAAAAACTCAATGGCAAAGGAGTTGAAGTATTAAAAGAATTTATTAATAATGGTGGAAAGTATCTTGGAATTTGTGCAGGAGCATATTTTGCATCATCATTTATTGAATTTAATAAAGATGTTGCAAATGAATTAACACTATGTGAAGAAAGAACATTAAAACTCTTCAATGGGATTGCTCATAAACCAATGTATCAAGGATTTGAAGAATATTCTGAACGAGGAGCTGTCATAATTCCTATTTATTATCAAAACAATGAAAAAGTCGAACTTTATTATAATGGAGGATGTTCATTTGTTGACAATTTAAATCAATACAAAGAGAGTCATTTTCTTGCAAAATATCAAAATGGAATGAATGCATTATTCTTTGACGTTATTGGTAAAGGAAAAGTTATTCTTTCTGGTCCTCATTTTGAATTAGACATAGAATGGTGTGGTAAAATGCTTAAAGAAAGTCAGAAAAGTGAATTTGAAATAAAGAGAAAACTCTTTTTGAAATATATTTTTTCATATTTTTAATTCTATCATTGTTTAATCATCTTCAGTTTTATTATTTCATTTGATGATCACTACTATCAGAGTGTATAATGACATTGGAACATCTACTCTTTGTGTTTATAACACAATTCATTTATTTCATCATTTTTTCCCTTGTGCTAATGTTTTTGTAATTTCTTCTTCAGAAATTAAGACGAGTCAAAGGGTTGAAAATACTGATTTGTTAGTCATTCCTGGAGGTGAGGATTTGCCATATCTTGACAAACTTCAGATGGATGGAATTGATTAAGTCGTTTGTTCTCAATGGCGGAAAGTTCTTAGGGATATGTGCTGGAGCATATTTTTCGTCATCATACATTAAGTTCAATGCAAATTCACAATTATCCATTGAAGGAGAACGTTACTTAAAATTTTACGAAGGAAATGCAATTGGTCCAGTGTATGATGGATATCAACCAAATAGTGAGTCAGGTGCACATATAGTAAAGATAAAGTACAATAATAGTTATGCGTATGTTTATTATAATGGAGGTTGTTATTTTGATGACAATAACAGTAAAGTAGAAGGTACTTATTTTGCGTTGTATGAAGATGGCAAACCATGTGGATATACTAGAAGATATGGAAAAGGGAAAATTCTCATCACGGGATTTCATTTTGAGTTTGATGAACAATGTTGTTCTCATTTGTTAAGTTAATTAAGGTATGACGATTTTGAATTAAGAAGAGAAAGTCTTATTAGATACATTTTATCATTAATGAGTGATTGTTAACAAAGGGATATTGATTGTTTTGTACAGAAGAGAATAGACAACAAGATGAAGAGAATCATTTGAAGTTAAAGTGAGATATGTTCAATAACATAATTAAGAAATGTAATAAGAAAACGAATAAAATCAAAATGGAATTTAATAACACATAGAATATGAGTTAATAAAATAATAAAGACAAAATAAATCAATGGAGAATAACGAGGAGATTTAAAGAAAAAACAAACCAGTGTTATGATGTACAAATAATCATAACATAATACAAACATACTTTATTTGCTTAAATAGAAAGTATTGTTTTTTTGATTCATCATTTTTTCTTTTAACAAATTTGTTTTTTATTTTTGTTATTATAAAAATAAGTCAATTAAAAATAGAATAATTGATTATTTCATTTTTATATCATATCAATTCCTTATAAATATCATGTTATAATTAATTGTTAAATTGTTAGAATAATAAGGAGATAGTATATTGAATGTATTAATTCAAAATCAGATTAGTGTTTGATTATTTTTATTTTGTCAGTTTGAAGATAAACATGATATTCTTTCAGTGAATGAAAAATCCTAAATTAATCAAAATTATATGTGTTATGAATATTATAATAATAAATAGTAGTCATAGTACATATTAATAGATAAAATAAATATAGAATAACGAATATAAAGACAAGAGAAATATAAAAGGGTAAGAAAATGAAGAATATAAAAGACAATAAAGAAATAATTATGAAGATAAAATGAAAGAAAATTCACAATTGAAAATGAAATTACAAAGATATAACAAAATTCACAACAATTATATTTAAACAATAAATATGAAATAAATTAATGTCAATAAGAATTATTCATTTAATTCAATACATTAATTACAATATATCAAATACAAGAAGAAGAAATAATAAAGAATAGAAAATGAAAAAAAGAAATACATGAAATATAAAATAAAATAACAAATCATCATAAATATTTGAAAAAGAAATAAAGAATAAAATAGAAAAGATGATAAATGAATAAACAGAAGAAATGATAGAAAATAACAATAATATAAGAATAAAGAAGAATAACAATAACAAATAACGAATTTCAATAATTTATATAAATGAATAAAATAAAGAATAACATCAAAATAATGATAGAAAAATGAAAGAATAATAAAATATATAAATAATATAGAATAATACATGAAATTTCATTTCTTACATTTTATAACAAATATGTATAAAATGATAATAATTAAATGAAATAAATTTAATTCAATCAAATTACAACATAATAATTACAAATATGAAATGAGAGAAATAAGAAATAAATAATAAAATATAGAATAAATTTATGATAAAATGATATAAAAAATATAGAATAAAATAAAGAACAAATAAACATAAAATAGATGAAAGAATATGTTTAGACACAAACAAAACATAAAGTTATAACAAAATAAAGAATAGAAAAAAAAAACAAAATATAATATAATATTTGAACAAAGAAATAATAATAATAATACAACTAGAAAAGAATAAAATATATAAAATAAATATATCAAAGTATCAAGTAATATTTAACTCAATTAGTATAGATTCAAAAACAAAAGAGAAATAAATAAAAATATAAATAAAGAAATAATACAAATGAAATAATACAAAAAGAATTAATAAATAATAAAATTGCATTTATTCCAAAACAAAATAATTATGTTTGATATATGAAATACATTATTTGAATATGATATATCTATTATTTTTGTTTATTTCTTAATTCATTATTTATTTAACAAAAGATTTCAAATTCACTTCATCTACTCTTCTATTTCTTCCTTTTCTCTTGTCATTTCTTTCTTATTTTTTTTATTCTTATTGTTTTATATTTATTCATTTGTTTGTTTTGTTTATTCTTTTTATTA